TTTTTTTTTTCTTTAGCTGTAAAATAAATTGTTCATAACAACAACAAAAACCCAGTTCTTTCTAGTATGTTTTTGGAAAAAGGTTTAGAAAATTACAGAAATATCTTATCTTAGCTAGATGGGGGTGGGGGGTAGTTTTTCTAAAAGAAAAATTACCTGAGAAAACACCAAATTATCCCCCCTCTTCTTTTCCTTTTAATAGATATTAGAGTCTTAGTTGGTATTAGGCATTATAATAGGTTTATAATGCAAATTTACTTCTGGCTTCTTAGGATAAAGCCGTGTAATTGGGAATATAAGCAAAAAATAAGTAAGTTTGGCTGGTTGCGATGGCACATGTCTATAATTCCAGCTACTCCAGAGGCTGAGGCAGGAGGACTGCTGCGAGTTCAAGGCCAGCCTGGGCTACATAACGAGAGCCTGATCTCAAAAAAAAAAAGAAAAATAGAAAGAATTAAGAAGGGAAAAGCTGTTTTAGATAGTGTGATGGAAATGCTACTTTTAGGAAGCATATTATTTTAGCTGAGATTTGAAGGCTAAGAAGGAGCTAGCCTTGTGAAGAGCCTGTGGAAAAATATTCCAGCCATGGACTCAAGTGGGATTGCTTACCACGTACTAGGAACTGTCAGCAGGCTGGCTGGAGTTAAGGCGGTTTAGTGGCCTATGCCTGTAGTCCCAATACTCTGAAAGCAGAGACATGAAGATCTCAAGTTCCAAGTCACCTGGCCAGCGTGGTGAGATCCTTACCTCAAAAATCAAAAGCAGCAGCAACAAAACAAACAAGACTGGAATCCGTAAAGTAGATATGGGCCATGCTGTAGTAGATATTTACGTTCTGATCTAATTGTTGTGGGGAGCATTATGGGATATTCAGCTAAGAAGTAACAAGTGATTTGCCTTTTTAAAAGATCGTGCTGTCTACCATGTACTCTCTCTTATTTATCTTTAATGGTGAAATACACATAGGCCTAATCTTCATGAAGTCTAACCTAGTGGCGGGGGGTAACATAATAAATAAAGCTACTCTAAAAAGTGCATAAAGAAATTAATTGGCCAGGCATGGTGGCGCACGCCTGTAATCCCAGCACTTAGGAGGCTAAGGCAGGAGGATCTTTGTGAGTTTGAGACCAGCCTGGGCTACAAAGTGAGCTCAAGGCTAGCCTGAACTGCATAGTGAGACCCTGTCTCAAAAAGACAAAAAAA